TTTCTGCTGCTGGAGAGTTGGAGCCACAGAGACGCCCACTGGCACCTGTGACTCACCAGCCTCTTTCCTTCACCTGCCTGAGACTTTGATGGTTCTCGGCTCCTGGGGAAACGCCTAGCCTGTTTGTGGGCTCCCACTGGGATAAGGAAAGCTAAGTGATTGGAGGGGAATTATTGCTCCTGGAGGGAGCCCAGGCATCATGAAACAAGCCAGGAGGTCACCTGGGTTCCGTGGGACCAATCCATCTTTCAGCTACGCTTTAGCAGAAATGGACCAGACAGAAACTCATAAGCTCTGGTTAATATCTGAGTTTCCAGTGCTGGTAAAGAGGGGATTTGCCCCAGCAGGGACTGAGCAAAACAGTGTTACTAAGGGAAAGGAAATGGCATTTATGTTACAACCTGCAAGGAATCCATTCCTCTCTTGTTTACACAAATTTGAAGGTTGAACTGTTAAAAAGACTTCAGGGAGAGAGCTGCTTGCCACCTCTGTTTGCTTTTATCACTAAAAGGGAAATGCTTCCCAATGGTTAGAGGGGGGAAGCTTCCTCCTGGTTCATTTGCTTGTGTTTCTATAAGAAATCTACCACTTCAATAAATTTTGCTATGAGACACACAATCTGGTGTTGCATGTGTCTGGGTGATGGTTCACAGACATGGACTTCTTACTTATGTGGAGAATTTTATGTGTTGTTAACCCATAAAATTTTCAACCAGGTTGCCCTGGTAGAAAAATACCACATACTGTAAAGTAAGAAAAGGACATGACTCTAACCTGCAACATGAGATAGTTAAGTAAAACTTACATATGCATTCGAACAAAGATGGGAGAGAGCTGGGAGAAGTAAAAGCAATTTAATTCAGAAGGGTAGTACAGACAGGACTGCAAGGGCACTTTGCTTTATTTAGGGTTTGGTGAATGTTGCTATGAGTATTTGTGTATTAAAAAAGGCATCCAGCCAGACTGGGGGAGGAGAGAACTTCCTGTGGAATGGTTTCAGTTCCCAGTTCTGGGATGGAAAGGAGACGTACTGGTTTGAGTCTGTGATCGGTCCAGGTTTCTGTTACGCTTTCACTTCCACTCAGTTCTTTAGCAAGATGAGGCTTGCTTTGGCATTGTGGCTCGGATGCCAATAAGAAATGCAGATACTCAGCCTCCCAGCCATGGCTGAATGGCAGTAAAGGAAGAACGATGAACCTTCTTGAGGTTCTGAAGTGTTTTTTGATCAGTGTGCTTGTCTGTTTTTTCAATTAACTCCTAGAGACAGAAAGTTAAAAGCAGAGATCACCTTCTTAAAGAGGAACAGATGAGCAGAGCTGAGCTCAGAGGAAAGCAGGGATTCCCCCAGCCCCAGATGCATGAGTCAGCAGGGAACCCAGTTGTGAAACTCTAACCTGTTCAGAACTAACAACCCATATCCGTCCTTTCGTTCATTCATCCCATCAGCTTTTATGTATTAAGCACCAGCTGTGTGCTGTTGTGTTCTGAGTGGTTGATGGAAATAGAGCAAGGAACAAGGTCCCCAGGACCCTCTTCTCATAGAACTCACATTCAAGGTGGGGAGGCAGACAGAAAAGAAGTAGACAAATAAATGGAAAGGGAGCTTGGGATGTCTATGAGGACTCTAAAGCCAACAAAGCAGGGTGACAGGCTAAAAAGGGGGTGGGACTGGGATGACTGGGAAGTGACCTGGAGCTGAGCAATGAATAACAAGACAGAGCAAACAGTGCAAAAATCTGGAGGAAGGGCATTCTAGGCAGAGGGGATGGTAAGTGCAAAGGCCCTGAGGTGTGTGAGTGTATTAGTCTCCTAGGGCTGCATAGCAAAGTACCACAAATTTGGTGGCTTAAAAAAACAAAAATTTAGGGTTTTCCTGGCAGCGCAGTGGTTAAGAATCTGCCTGCCAATTCAGGGGACACGGGTTCGAGCCCTGGTCCGGGAAGATCCCACACGCCGCGGAGCAGCTAAGCCTGTGCGCCACAACTACTGAGCCTGCTCTCTAGAGCCCACGAGCCACAACTACTGAGCCTGTGTGCCACAACTACTAAAGCCCGCGCGCCTAGAGCCTGTGCTCTGCAACAAGAGAAGCCACTGCAATGAGAAGCCCTTGCACTGCAACGAAGAGTAGCCCCCGCTCATCGCCACTAGAGAAAGCCCACGCACAGCAACGAAGACCCAACGCATCCAAAAATAAATAAATAAATAAATAATTTAAAAAGAAAAGAATGAAATAATGCCATTTGCAACAACATGGATGGACCTAGAGATTATCATATTAAATGAAGTATGTCAGACAAAGACAAATACTGTATGATATCATTTATATGTGGAATCTAAAATATGACACAAATGAACTTATTTATGAAACAGGAACAGACACAGACATCGAAAACAAACATATAGTTACCAAAGGGGAGAGGGGGTGGGGGAGGGATAAATTAGGAGTTTGGGTTTAGCAGATACAAACTATATATAAAATAGATAAACAAGGTCCTACTGTATAGCACAGGGAAGTGTATTCAATATCCTATAATAAATCATAATGGAAAAGAATATGTATAACTGAATCACTTTGCTGTATATCTGAAATGAACACAACATTGTAATCAACTACTTCAATTAAAAAAAAAAGAGAGAGAGAGCAGTCTCCTAAATACTTCTGTTTCCCTGTCCAGGGGAATGCCAACATTAATTTTAATAAACTTATTTATTTTTGGCTGCGTTGGGTCTTCGTTGCTGCATGCAGGCTTTCTCCAGTTGCAGTGAGCGGGGTTTACTCTTCGTCGCGATGCAAGGGCTTCTCATTGTGGTGGCTTCTCTTGTTGTGGAGCATGGGCTCTAGGTACACAGGCTTCAGTAGTTGTGGATCGCGGGTTCTAGAGCGCAGCCTCAGTAGTTGCAGCGCATGGGCTTAGTTGCTCCGCGGCACGTGGGATCTTCCCGGACCAGGGCTCGAACCCGTGTCCCCTGCATTGGCAGGCAGATTCTTAACCACTGCGCCACCAGAGAAGCCCGCCAACATTAATTTTAAAAGGGAGCAAGCAATGACATTCTGGGCTAAACCAATGGCATATTCTACTCAGTCTCAAACTGTGTGTGGTACAACGTGTGAGTGTGTGTGTGTGTGGGGGGGTGTAACTATACGTATGCATGTCTGTGTGTCTATATACATATTGGAAGGGGCAGTTATCATCATTTACACATCTCTTTTTCATTACTTCCTCTATATTTTGGAGGGTACCAGTTCTTGGGGTCATGAGTTCCATGAGTTTACTCTCTGCAATGTAAAAAAGTAGGACTTCCTTTTAGCTGCTCCCAAAGAAATGCCCTGGGACTTCCCTGGCGGTCCAGTGGTTAAGACTCCTCGCTTCTACTGCAGGGGGTGCGGGTTCAGTCCCTGGTCGAGGAACTAAGATCCCGCATGGTGTAGGTTAAAAAAAAAAAAAGGGGGGATTACCCCTAAGTCCAGAACCATAAAATCAGGTGTACAAAATTGTCTTTGTTTCTGATTTTATGAACTCTCTTACCTTTCCAAGTTTATTAGCCTATCTGCCCCAGGGCACCTTGCCTGACGGGAGGGGATTTAAACTGCACCTAGTGTTCTGGTCCTTAACATGCCTTTTGGTTTAATAGTCAATCTGCTGATTATGGTCTGATTATGGTCTGTCAATCCTGATTATGGTCTGTCAATCCGCTGACCTTCCTGCTTACAACAAGCAGTTGGATTCACAGACGGTCCATCAAGCCCAGCTCGCCTCTCTCTTCCCCCACTTTGCTTCTACAATCAGAATTTAGCTGAGGGATTCGGTTAACCACAGTGCCTTGGTGAAGCCACTAGGTACTGGAAATTGACCAATTACCAACCAACGGAAATATGGATCATCGCCTGCTCCCCCATCCTTTGGATCAAATTGGCGACTTCTTCAAATTGGAAAGGAAATTTTGATGAAATCCTTCAGTCGTTGAGGCCGGGTTGTTTGTGTTACTGGAAATTCCTCTTTTTTTATTTTTGTCCTTTCTCATGGTAGGGAGAAGATGCCTTACTATAACTGTTTAACTCCAAGTGCTTATGGATGAAGTAACTGAAACACACGTAAATTAACTTAAGCAAAAAAATTAAAGAGAGAAGAAATATAGCGGTGTTTCTAAACTAAGAGAGAATTCAACCAGGTGTGGGCAGACCCAGGACACCAGCGCACAGCTCTTCACCCGCCTCTTAACCATGAACATGATTCAACCCTTAATACCTGTGTCTCTCAGGTCAGATTCTCATAAGAAATAATCTGATTGGTCCCAAACCACATTTTATAAAAGGGTCATTAGGACAACAATCACATGGCTGCTGTGTAAAGGGTTTTTTTTTTTCTTCCAGTTTTCTGGAGATATAATTGACATACAGCACTGCAGAAGTTTAAGGTGTAAGCATAATGATTTGACTTACATACAACATGAAATAATGATCATGATAAGTTTAGTAAATATCTATCATCACATATAGATACAAAATTAAAGAAACAGAAAAAAATTTTCCTGTGATGAGAACTCTTAGGATTTACTTTCTTAACAACTTTCATCTATAACATACAGCAGAGTTAATTATATCTGTCGTGTTATACATCACATCCCTAAGAATTATTTATCTTATAACTGGTAGTTTGTACCTTTGACTATCTTCATCCAATTCCCCCTCCCCCACCGCCTTCCTCTAGTAACTACTAAAGGGTATTTTAATTTTTTAATATTAATTAATTTATTTATTTCATTTTGGCTGCATTGGGTCTTCATTGCCGCGCGTGGGCTTTTCTCTGGTTGCGGCGAGCAGGGGCTACTCTTCGTTGCGGCGCGCCGGCTTCTCATTGCGGTGGCTTCTCTTGTTGCAGAGCATGGGCTCCAGGCGCGCGGGCCTCAGTAGCTGTGGCACGTGAGCTCAGTAGTTGTGGTTCGAGGGCTCTAGAGCACAGGCTCAGTAGCTGTGGCGCATGGACTTAGTTGCTCCGCGGCATGTGGGATCTTCCCGGACCAGGGCTCGAACCCGTGTCCCCTGCATTGGCAGGCGGATTCTTAACCACTGTACCACCAGGGAAGTCCCTAAAGGGTATTTTTAAACTACTGTTTATATGAACTCATGCTGACTGCCAGGCGTTCCTCAGATAACATTTCAGACCACCGCCCACATCACTCGCTTAAAAACCACGTTTGCGCTTTCAGCAGACTTGATCTCAATTCTCTTGCTTCCAAAATTTCTGCCACGTTACAAAACTCTGGAGAACAGACAGGTAATCAGCCAACCTTGAGGAAGAAATGCAGTTCACACTGCCCCAAACCCAAACAGACGTGGACCTCCAGATGTTGACTGCTAGAGCCCTTCCGAAGGCCTTCCTAGAGAATTAAAATCTTTGCAATTTTATATATTACTTAATAAACTCGAGTCCAAGACATACTCTTTGGCGGGCTTAGCTGTGGTGAGTACCTAGCCATGACATTCTGTTCACTGAGTTCTGCGTCTGCTATGACACAGGAAACATGGCTATTTTTACAGCCCGGTGCTGGGTTCTCTTGGGGCTCAAGTTTAAGATTTGGTCACCCTCTGTCTCTTCAGGGAGAAGGGATTTGCATGTGGCATTACAAACATCAGGCCTGATCACAGTCGCATGGCCCTGTCTTATGAAAGGCAAGCACTTCTAGGCTCTTAACAAATACTGATATACTGGGCAGTGGCCAGTATAGAGAGAGATTTACGGGCATCAATAGGTATTGGGAACAGTACATGACATTTCCAATGCAACTGAAAAGAACAGAAAACTGCCTACTGATGTCATCAGGTTGAAAGACAGTGGGTTTCTTTTCATTGTGCTTACAAAATATCCCTCCTTTGGAATACAATGCTTCAGTAGGAAAATGGTATTGATTCATTTTTTATTTCAGTAAAACAACATGAGGCAAAGATTGGCTCATAATTAGAGAGATGCTTCATTTAGCATCATTTGATCGCTATCAATTATTGTATGGAAGATTTCCTCCACGCCGTCGGCCAGACACTATGCCTAGTGTTTTCCATAGGTGATCTCGTTTCATCCTTTCAGTAACTTCATAGGGTAAGTGCTATTCCATTTCACAGATACGGGAACTGAGGTCCAGAGAGTTTGAATAATTTGCCAAAGGTCATAGGACCTGTAAGTGATGAACCGAGGGAACAAGTATAGGCAGTCTGACTCCAGAGTCTTTGCCTTTAAAGTTCCGAAACAACGCAAAGTGAGAGATGAGCAACGTGAACTGAAAAAAGTAGGGTGAGTGCCTTGACCCATTAGGGGTCAATAAATCCAGAACTTTTCAGGCTGCCCGACCACTAGGGATCTCCCAGGTCCAGGCTGAGCTCATGTACTTAAGCTGCCAGGCACCGTGCTTGGCACTGAGTGGATCAATAAATGTTAGTTTCCCTTCTTCCAAAGCTCACTGGTGACTGAGCTCTTTCTCCCTTGTTGAATATTCTTCTCGTCTTTCTAATGAAGCTACCATCTCACGAGGAGGCAGGTAAACGATGTTCAGTGCAACAGTGTTTGTAATAGTGAAAACCAGGAAACAACCTAAGTGTCCATTAGAAGGGGAATAGATAAACAGCAATACAGGCACCCAGTGGAATACTATCAATACATAGCAGGGAAGAAAAAAAGGAACCAGAGTTACCTGTATCAATAGAACTGAACCTTGAGCATAACATCTAGAGCAAAGAGCAAGTTGCCAAAAGATACATGTAATATGATAACATTTTTTAAAATGTTTAAAATATGCTAAACGAAATAACATGGATTTTGGAAGCATCCGTATGTAACAAAACAAAAATCATGGAAGAGAAGGAGGCATAGCAGCTGCAAGATACAGATGACCCCTGTGGAGGAAGGAGGAGCACTTGATTGAGGGAGGCCTCAACTGTCTCTGTAACGTTTTTACTTTATTTTAGAAGAAGGATCTGCAGATGTCCTTCAAAGGGGGAATGGTTAAACAGCCTGGGACACGTGCATGCCATGGAATACTACTTAGCAATGAAAAGAAATAGACTATTTGACACATGTAACAATTTGGGTGGATTTTAATGGCATTATGCTAAGTGGGAAAAAAAAAGACCAATCTTAAAGAGTTTCATACTGTATGATCCCATTTATGTAACATGCTTGAAATGACAAAATTATAAAGAAAACAAATAGGGAATTCCCTGGCAGTCCAGTGGTTAGGACTTTATGCTCTCACTGCCGAGGGCCCAGGTTCAATCCCTGGTCAGGGAACTAAGATCCTGCAAGCTGAGTGGTGCAACCAAAATAAAATAAAATAAAAATTAAGAAGATGAATAGATCAGTGGTTCCTAAGGGTTAAAGAGGAGGGAGTGGGCATTGTACAGTATGAGGGTGTTCCCTCATGGTGGCAGAATCATCTGTATCTTTTTTTTTTTTTTTAGCGGTACATGGGCCTCTCACCATTGCGGCCTCTCCCGCTGCGGAGCACAGGCTCGGGAGGCGCAGGCTCAGCGGCCATGGCTCATGGGCCGAGCCACTCTGTGGCATGTGGGATCTTCCCGGACCGGGGCACGAACCCGTGTCCCCTGCATCGGCAGGCGGACTCTTAACCACTGTGCCACCAGGGAAGCCCCCATCTGTATCTTAAATGTGGTGGTGGTTATACAAATCTCCATATGTAGTAAAATGTCATAGAATTAAAACAAAGACATACAAGAAGAAGAGGGATTGTTAAGTCTGGGTGGTAGGAACACAAATTGTGTTATTGGTTTTTGATCTTTGTGAGTAGGAGGTTGTATACACACATGATCAGGTAACCTGACGGGACTATGGGGCAGATGCTACAATTCAGGCCCTCTCTCTCCATGTTCAGTTTTTCCTCCACCTTCTTTTGCATCCCTCAAAATACCCACAAATGTCCTTTATGTTTTAAAGATTTTATGGCTGGCAACTTGGGAAACTCATAAAGGGTAGCCCAAAATTAGCTTGTTTATGAAACCATAAGGTTAAAAACTCTTACAAAATGAAATAAGGGACTTCCCTGATGGTCCAGTGGGTAAGATTCCACACTCCAAATGCAGGGGACCCAGGTTTGATCCCTGGTCAGGGGAACTAGATCCCGCATGCATGTCCCAACTAAGAGTCCACATGCAGCGACTAAGACTCGGCTCAGGGCTTCCCTGGTGGCACAGTGGTTAAGAATCCACCTGCCAATGTAGGGGACACAAGTTCAAGACCTGGTCCGGGAAGATCCCACATGCCGTGGAGCAACTAAGCCCGTGCACCACAACTACTGAGCCTGCACTCTAGGGCCTGCGAGCCACAACTACCGATCCTGCATGCCACAACTACTGAAGCCCATGCTCCTAGAGCCCATGCTCCGCAACAAGAGAAGCCACCACGATGAGAAGCCTGCACACCACAACGAAGAGTAGCCCCCGCTCGCCACAAATAGAGAAAGCCTGCATGCAGCAATGAAGACCCAATGCAGCCCAAAATAAATAAATTTAAAAAAACAAGGAAAAAGACTTGGCGCAGCCTAAGTAAATAATAAATAAATAGACAAATAAATATTTTTAAAAAATGAACCTGGAAAACATAATGTGAGAGTCAGATACAAAGGGCCACATACTGTATAATCCCATTTGTATGAAATGTCCAGAAGAAGCAAATCCATAGAGACAGAAGGCAGACTGTGGTTGCCAGGGGCTGGGGGAGGGGAGATGGGGTGTGACTGCTAAAGGGCAGGGGGTTTCTTTTTTGGGTGAAGAAAATGTTTTGGAACTAGATAGAGGTGATGGCTGTACAACACTGAGAATGTACTAAATGCCACTAAACTGTTCACTTTAAAGTGGTTCATTTTGGGCTTCCCTGGTGGCGCCGTGGTTAAGAATCTGCCTGCCAACTTAGGGGACATGGGTTCGAGCCCTGGTCCGGGAAGATCTCACATGCTGCGGAGCAACAAAGCCCTTGCGCCACAACCACTGAGCCTGCGCTCTAGAGCCCATAAACCACAGCTACTGAGCCCGTGCGCCACAACTACTGAAGCCCGCATGCCTAGAGCCCATGCTCCGCAACAAGAGAAGCCAACGCAATGAGAAGCCCTTACACTGCAACAAAGAGTAGCCCCTGCTCACCACAACTAGAGAAAGCCCGCACACAGCAATGAAGACCCAACATGGCCAAAAATAAATAAATAAAATAAATTAAAATAAATAAATAAATAAAATAAAATGGTTCGTTTTATGTTATGTTAATTTCACGTGATTTAAAAAAGAAAACTGTTACAACTCTATAGAGTAGCTGCCCCTCTTCTCTAGCTCATCCTCTCTCCCATCCCCCACTCTCCGTCCCCAGTCCTCTCCTGGGTCAGGCAAGATCCCTGCCCCAGAGAGGGTGGTCTGAGGATGGACTTAGGGTGGAATACTAGGTATGAGCCAGTGTCTTGTGACTTCTGGTCGTTTCTAGCCTGGGTAGTTCTCGTATAAACATGTTCCTCAGTTTCACTGAATACAACTCCTTAGAGCAAGATATAAACCAGGGTGTCTGTTATGAGCTGATTTGTGTCCCCCTCCACCCAAATTGCTATGTTGAAGCCCTAACCTCCAGTACTCTTTTTTTTTCTTTTTTAATATTTATTTATTTGGTTGGGTCAGGTCTTAGTTGTGGCAGGTGGGCTCCTTTGTTGAGGCTTGCCAGCTCCTCAGTTGTGGCATGTGAACTCTTAGTTGCGGCATGCATGTGGGATCTATTTCCCAGACCAGGGATCAAACCCGGGCCCCCTGCATTGGGAGCACAGAGTCTTAACCACTGTACCACCAGGGAAGTCCCTCCAGTACCTCTTAATGTGACTGTATTTGAACAAGGGGTGTTAAAGAGGTAATTAAATGAAAATGAGGTCATTAGGGGTGGGGCCCTAATTCAATAGGACTGGTGCCTTTATAAAAAGAGGACACAGAGATTAGGACACAGATGTGCACAGAGGGAAGACCATGTGAGGACAGGGGGAAGACGGCTGTCTACAAAGTGAGGGGAGAGGTCTCAGAACAAGTAACTCTACCCACTCCTTGATCTTGGACTTCTGGCCTTCAGAACTGTGAGAAAATAAAATTTCTGTTGTTTAAGCCACCCAGACTGTAAAATTTTGATAAGGTGGCCCGAGCAAACTCGCACAGCGTCTGATCGTCTTTGTCCTATGCCACGTCAGCCAGTGGTTTCAGAGCTCAGCTGGAATGCCATATGTGTTTATTTAAAACCACTTATCACCTATAAATTAGAATAGAATTTCACATAAGGCCTCTTGTGCTACACAGCAGAGAAATTCAACTTAAAAAAAGTAGAAGAATAACATTAAAGACAGGTTGACTTTTCACAGGCAAACATTGCCCAACTGCCTCTTCTCTCTCTCCAGCTATCTTTTGTTTAATGATGGAAACCAATCTCAAAAGTCATTAAAATGCATATTTTTTAAAAACTGAGAGAAAAAAAAAATCACACTTCTCTCTGAGGTTCCCATAGAAGCTGACATTTCAGTCATGATTTCAAAAAAAAATTTTTTTAAACGAAACAACTAAAATTATTATAGTCCATCCAGAAAAAAATTGCTGAATAGTCTTATCTACTGTTAACATTTCTAACAAAGAATATTCACATAAAGCTCCTAAAAATTATCCTTCTAAAACAAAAATTGAACCATGCCTCTTTTCCTAACCTCAAAAACCTTCAATTATCCAAAGAATAGAGTTCCAACTCAGCACAATCTTTGCTGCCAGGCTACCTGGTATCAACGTGGGGTGGAGGTGAAAGGGAATGGCTTTTGGAATTAGATGTTTCTGGGTTGAAATTCCAGCTTTCCCACTCCTTGGCCAGGTGCTGGGGGTGCAGAGAGGATGACAGAGGTCCTGGGCTTAGGATCCTTACAGCTACAGATATTTTATACTGAAATATAATTCACATGCTATAAAATTCATCTTTTTTTTTAGGTCATTTACTTTATTGAATATCTTGTGTACTTTCTTATAGTCTTAATTCAAGAGACTTTCTTTCAGATACATGCCTAAAAAGCCTGAGAACAGCAGGACAGCCAGGGCACAAAATTCAAACTCCTGCCCGGGCCCTTCCTATGTCTTTCCCATTGAGGACTAAGCCAGCACTTCCCCTCTATCTCAACAGCCCAGTGATCCCTCCTTTATAGCTGACAGAGTGAAATAAAATGGAATCTGGGAGAACCAACCAGTTGACAGAGGGAAGCCAGAGAAACTCTCAAGAGAGATGGTCCAGCTGATTCTGGAAGCCGCAGCAGGTCCCTGGGTATGGCTGCATGCTGGCAGAGGTGACCAGGATGTCCTGGGTCATAGCCTGGCTCCAGACACAGACTGGATTCCCAGCCACCCAATCCACGCAACCAAGACACCATGCAACTCCCTGAGGATGCTGTCCTCCAGCCCTCAACCAAAGTTCACTGACTAAAAACATGAACTAAAAACAGATACTGATGCTTGATCTTAGACAAAAGGCTGAGAAATGATAAATTCATCCTTTTAAAGTACAGTTCAGCCATTTTTATTATTGTATATTCACAAACTTGTGCAAACATCACCACTGTCTAATTCCACAACTTTTTCATCATCCCGCCCCCAAAAAACCCCCATGCCCATTGTCAGTCATGCCCCATAGAGCTGCCCCAGCTCCTGGCAAATACCAATCTACTTTCTATCTCTATATCATCATTATTATTATTGTTATTATTGTTGTTGTTGTTATTATTATTATTTTGTGGCCATGCACCACTCAGCTTGAGGGATCTTAGTTCCCTGACTGGGGATTGAACCCGGGCCCTCAGCAGTGAAATCGCAGAGTCCTAACCACTGGACTGCCAGGGAGTACCCATGATGTATTTTTAAATGAAGAAATGCCATTACAATGTTGGAAAAATTGAGGTAGGGCGATTTGGGCAGGGGGCCTTAAACAGGCTTTCTTCCCCATCTGGTTTTTGACTGTTTGTTCTTCTGAAGTTGAGTCCAACAGTCTTGTGGGACTGAGCCCTTCACCTGTGGGATCTGATGCTAATGAAACAGAGTAGGACCCTGTGGGGACCTCCCGGGTTCAAATCCTTTCTGTGTCCCCTGTTTCTTGTTTGTAGGAAATAGGCTTTATTCAGCCTTCTTGACCTTCCGAGTTCGGAAAGGGCAGATTTGAACAGTTGCTTATCAGGGAAGGGAGGGGATGCAGAAACAAAGGAGGAGCAGTGAAGAAACAATAGTGCAGCCTTGGGGCAGGGTCCTGGTTCCTCCTCAAGGGATACACAGAACAATATCTTTGAGTTCTTCTGTAGGAACTAAGACCCCCACCCAGGTGGAGGATGGTAACTTCAGGCCAAGCACAAGATTCCTGGGACACTGTCCTGTTACCTCACCACCAACCAATCAGAAGAAAGTCTGCACACAGTGGGAGGTGATGAAGACTCTGACCCCATCCCCAAATGATTTCCCTTTAAAAACTTTCCTGGTCAAGCAGAACATTTGGAGGTGGCTTTTGGACACAAGTCCGCCTTCTCCCCAGGTTGCCAGCCTCCTGAATAAAGCAAGTTTTCCTTTCCAACCAACACTTGTCTCTTGAGGATTGGCTTTTGAGTGGCGAGCAGCCAAACCCACGTTTGGTAACAGAAGGTGAGTAGAATCTCTACTGAGAGCCAAATGAACAGTCTGGGAGACCAAGTGCAAGAAATGTCTCCAAACATAGAGCAAAATGATAAGGAAATAGAAATCTGTGGGGAAAGATAAGCGAGTTGGAGGATAGCTCCTGAAGAATGAATGAACACACAATAGGAGTTCCAAAACAAGAATAAGCAACAGATCAACAAATAATAGGAGAAAATGTCCCTGAAATTACTAAAGATCAGCAACTGCAGATTGACAGGGTTCACTGAGTTCCAGACTGGTCTGATAAGAGTCATATGTGGGCATATTCTGGTAAAATCACCAAACCTGGAAGATAACCATCTTACAAGCGTCAAGCAGAAAGCAGAAGATATGCACAAAGGAAAAAAAGTCAGACTGGCATTAGATTTTCATCTACGCTATGGAAAGATGACAGTGGACCAGTATCTACAGAAGAGAGAAAGGACTCCGACCCAAGAATCCTCTATCCAGTTTTCAAAATACTTTCCATCTATTGAGGCAAAAGGAGAAGAGTCAAGGATACCCCCAAGGATTCAGAGAATATAACTCCCAGGTCTTCATCTGAGGAAATGACTTGAGAAAAGACTTACCAGACTACAACTACACCTGAAAAGAAAACTGAAAGAAGAAGAAAACAAAAGAGAAAACAGTGTTAAGAACACAGGCATAGGATGTCTTACATCTAAGTGGATCCAGAGAGGGATTTGTGTAACAGAGAAGGACTCTTGAAACCAAATGGACCTCCTCTAAGGGAGTTCTAACAAACACTAAATTATTTCAGCCAAACCTCAGAGACTGGTGAGTGGAGGTGGGGAGGTAAAGGGTCTCATGGGTCTCATTGGGGAAGATGGAAAAGGAAAGGAGGAGAGGGAGGAAGTGAAAGTGTTCTAAAGGTCTCATCTCGGAGGGATGAGGGAGAAGGGGAGGAAACAGATCTAGGAGCTGGCAGGACAGTGCACCTCCGTGTGGGACATGGTGAGTTACAGGCTTCCCATGATCAGGACAAGGAAATTTGCTTTTGCCTAGTTGAAGCCAAGAAAGCAACATGGGTCACCAGCAGCTCTACTGGAGTCATCCAAAAAAAATTGGCCAGCGTTCTAGCTCTTGCTGCGTCTGCTCAAACCGGCCCAAACCGGTACAACCTGATCCAGAAATACAGCCTCAATATGTGCCGCCAGTGTTTCCGCCAGTACGGGAAGGACATCGGCTTCATTAAGTTGGACTAAGTGTGAACTTCTTGAATGGGTCATCCAGCATATCTACCATCCTCAGAAACAATACTAACTCTTTGTATATAAAATAAAAAATTTTAAACTTACCCAAAAGACAAGGAAATTCATCATGAAGGAAATGGAGAGATCTTCTTAACCAAGCCTGGGAACTCAGAAGCTATGAAAGAAAAGATGGGTATTTGACTATGTCAACATTAAAATGTTTTATGTGACAAGGGGTACCAAAAATAAAGCCAGTGCAAGTGATGGAGCTGGAAAACTATTTGTAATACAAATAATAGTCACCAACTGTGGTTGACTAACTTACTGTGTGCCATGCACCATCCTATTGACTTGTATTAACTCACTGGTGTCTAGAACAACAGTATGAGGTAGGAATTATGATGTTGATCATGACTGCTACTTCCCAGATGAGTAAACTGGGGCAAAGTTGAATGACTTGTCGAGGTCACATAGCCAGTCAGGGGCTAAGTTCTGAGGCGACCCTTGGCAGCCCGCCCCAGAAGACGATGCTCTTAATCACTTCTCTGCAATTAAGCCAAAGTTCAGATGGATGCTATCTCAAGAGCTTTTACAAATTGACCTGAACAAGACAAACAACCGAGACAGAAATGGGCTTAGATTATGAACAGGTTATTTACAGAGGAGCAAAACCAAATGGCCAACAAAAGAATGTAAAGATCTTCCAATTCAACAGTGGTCAGAAAAACGCTAATTAAAGAAGCAATAAGACATTGCATCCACTAGACTGACTGACATAACTAAAACGAGCAGTGCTCTCAAGTGTTGGCAGGAATATGGAGAAAAGGCCACTCTGGTACATGTGAAGTTTTGCAGCCATTTGGGGAAGCAATCTGGCAACATCTGTTAAAATGGAAACGAAACCCTTTGACCCGTTTATCCAACTCCTGGGAATCCGTCCCAGAAAAATAAAAGTACCAATACTTAAGGACAAGGATGTTGACGGGAACATTGTTTTTTTGTATGTGTGGTAGGAAGCTGGTCACAAAATGAATGCCCATCAAAAGGAAAAGGGGAATGATGGAATAAATGATGCTCCATCCACCCTATACATGTTTTAATAAAATAAAATCAATCCGTGTCTGCAGCCTGGCGGCCTGCTGGCCCTAAGGGCTGGCAGATGTGTTTTTGGTGAGCCAGCAGTGTTTTTATAAATTCCTGCAGGCTTCTGAGTCTATGATCCCCTGCAAATATTTCCATTAGACACAAAGTCTGCCGTCAAAAGGGCTACAGTACACAAACACACGTGGTATATGTGTGCTATTAACCTTTCATGGGGGGGCAGGGGGAGGTGTGGGTGATGATGTGGAGAAATTGGAACCCTCATACATCGCTGGTGGGAATGCAAAATGGTGCTGCCACTGTGGAGAACAGTTTGGTGGGTCTTTGATAAGGTAAACACAGAGTTACCATAGGATCCCAGCAATTCCACTCCTATGAATATATCCAGAAGAACTGAAAAAGATGTTCAAACAAACACTTGAACACAAATGGTCATAGCAATACTATTCACGATAGCCAAAAGGTGGAAACAACCCAAATGTTTATCTACTAAATGAATGGTTAAACAAATGTGGTCCATCCATCCATCCATACAATGGAATATTATTCAGCCATAGAAAGGAATAAAGTACTGATACATATACAACGTGATGCGGAGTGAAAGAAGCCAGAACTAAAAGGCCACGTGTTTTATGATTCCGTTTATAGGAAATGTCCAAAAGAGGCAAATCCATAGAGACAGGAAGCAGATTAATGGTCTCCGGGACCTGGGGGGATGGGAGAATGGGATGTGACTGCATAATAATGGGTTTGGAGTTTTTGTTTGGGGTGATGAAAAAGTTCTGGAACCAGACAGTGGTATTTGTTGCACAGCACTGTGAATGTATCAATAGTTAATGCCACTTTAAAGTAGTTAAAATGGTGAATTTTATGTTATGTATATTTTATCACAATAAGAAAAGATTCATGGAGCGGGACAATTAGAAAAAGAGAGTCTGAAAAGGTAACTGGGGGAGGGGCAATAAAGGAAAAGGGGTTGAGAAACACTCTGGGATAAAGACTAGTCTGTGCTTCAATATATCAAAGATCGTCAGCCTTAAAGCAAATACCTAAATAATTCATCTTTTTTTTTTTTTTTTAAACAGTGAGGGGGAATTCCCTGGCGGTCCGGTGGTCAGGACTTGGGGCTTTCACTGCCATGGCCCGGTTCAATCCCTGGTGGGGCAACTAAGATCCCACAAGCCGTGCAGTGTGGCCAAATAAATAAATAAAACAGTAAGACAGGAATAAAGCCACAGACCTACTGGAGAAGGGACTCGAGGCTACGGGGAGGGGGGAGGGCGAGCTGGGACAGAGCGAGACAGAGGCGTGGACATGTATACACTACCAAACGCAAGGTAGACAGCTAGTGGGAAGCAGCCGCACAGCACAGGGAGATCAGCTCGGTGCTTTGTGACCGCCTGGAGGGGTGGGATAGGGAGGGTGGGAGGGAGGGAGACGCAAGAGGCAAGAGATATGGGAACATATGTATATGCATAGCTGATTCACTTTGTTATAAAGCAGAAACTAACACACCATTGTAAAGCAATTATACTCCAATAAAGATGTAAAAAAAAAAAACAAAAAAAACAGTGAGGGATCTTGTAGGCCCTTGAGGCAAATCACCCTCCTTTTCTGCTTCTAACCCAGGATTTGGGGTGTGTTCTTTCACAGCCCACAAGGATTTGAGCTTGATCACTCTTTCTTGCCCAACTTTTGTCCGACTCTGTGTTACTTGGGACCTTCTGGGTTACCTGGGGTAACGCACGTTATATAAGCAACCGAAGTTAGTTTGCTCAGGAAACTGTCAAGCCTTGTGCTGGCCTGGACCATACTGCTTAAGCCAAGTCCAAATACCATCTGACAGAAGATGCGTCGTTACTTTATACGCTACGAAGACAGGAAAAGAACGTGCACCCACGATGGCAAACTTCTTATCACTTGAAAATTTCAATGGATACTTGTCACTCTTGTGCATATATTAAAAGGAAAATGGAAATAAGTTGACTAAGGTATTCCTACAATGTCTTCCTGCTTAGAATCTGACTCTTCTCATAACTTTTCGAAGCAGTCACACTGAGGTCTGTGTTTTTCACTCACCATCGTCCTCCGTGCCTTGAGAATGATGGTGATACTGCATTTCTCTCTCTTTTTTTAAAAATGTATTTATTTTTATTTTTGGCTGCGTTGGGTCTTTGCTGCTGCGCGCAGGCTTTCTCTAGTTGCGGCGAGCAGGGACTACTCTTCCTTGTGGTGTGAGGGCTTCTCATTGCGGTAGCTTCTCTGCAGGGGCTCTAGGCACCCGGGCTTCAGTAGTTGTGGCACGTGGGCTCAGTAGTTGTGGCTCGTGGGCTCTAGAGAGCAGGATCAGTAGTTGTGGCGCACGGGCTTAGTTGCTCTGTGGCATGTGGGATCTTCCCGGACCAGGGCTCGAACCCGCGTCTCCTGCATTGGCAGGAGGATTCTTAACCACTGCGCCACCCGGAGAGCCCGATGTTGCATTTCTTAAAAGACTGAAAAGCCGCTGGCATTGGGTTCTTGTGCCGGCTCAGGAATCATGCAGGGGAGCCTCCTTTTGACTCCTCCAATGGCAATGTTGCTATACATGTCTGATCCTCTTCTTGCCTCATCCCTCCTCCAACTCCTGTGTTCTTAGGAGTGAAAAAAGTGCTCCACTGTTTCCTGGAGCCATCGACACCCATCCTGGAGCTTTGGACCCCTGTGCTTTTGGCGCTCACCTTCCTGCAGGCAAAGTCGTCACTCCAGAATTGCTGCCCCCGCAGCAGCAAGAATTAAGACACCAGCTATTGTTAGACACAGTCCAAGACATTAAACGTCATGAAAAACAAAGGATACATTTAATTTAATTTAATTTTTTTTCAACTTTATTTTATATTGGAGTATAGTTGATTAACAATGTTGTGTTAGGGACTTCCCTGGTGGCACAGGGGTTAAGAATCCGCTTGCCAATGCAGGGGACACGGGTTTGAGCCCCGGTCCGGGAAGATCCCACATGCCGCGGAGCAACAAAACCCATGCGCCACAACTACCGAGCTTGCGTTCTAGAGCCCGTGAGCCACAACTACTGAGCCCATGAGCCACAACTACTGAGCCCACGAGCGACAACTACTGCAGCCCACGCACCTAGAGCCCGTGCTCTGCAGTGAGAAGCCACCGCAATGAGAAGCCCGTGTACGGCAACGAAGAGGAGCCCCCGCTCACTGCAACTGGAGAAAGCCCGCGTGCGGCAGCGAAGACCCAACGCAGCCAAAAATAAATAAATAAATTTAAAAAACAAAAAACAAAAAAACAATGTTGTGTTAGTTTCAGGTGTACAGCAAAGTGGTTCAGTTATACATATACCTGTATCTATTCTTTTTCAAATTCTTTTCCCATTTAGGTTGTTACACAATATTGAGCAGGGTTCAAAAGATGCATTTTTGCTTACATCGATGAAAATGGTATGCCAGGAAAGAGAAGCTCTAGAATTGTCCCCATTCTCACGATGTGGCCTCAGTTGGTCGTTGCTCTGACTTCTGACTGTCTTCTTTGGGGGTCTCTTGGCTTCTGCCCAACTCCAATGGAGGGGTTTATTTCTTGCATATCTTGCTTGGGTCCAGACTTCCATAAAAAGAGGACCTGACTGGATCGTTGTCACTGTCCAGCATCTTCCCTGACATGACTGGGTCTAATAGTCATTATACAATGGGAGTGGGTTGAATGGTGATCCTCAAAAAGATATGTTCACAGGCTTCCCTGGTGGCGCAGTGGTTGAGAGTCCGCCTGCCGATGCAGGGGACACGGGTTCGTGCTCCAGTCTGGGAGGATCCCACGTGCCGCGGAGCGGCTGGGCCTGTGAGCCATGGCCGCTGAGCCTGTGCGTCCGGAGCCTGTGCTCCGCAACGGGAAAGGCCACAACAGTGGGAGGCCCGCGTGCCGCAAAAAAAAAAAAAAAAAAAAAAAAAGATATGTTCATGGATTAATCCCAGAACCTTAACTTGTGAATCTTACCTTATTTGGAAAAAGGGTCTTTGCAAATACAATTAAATTTAGGATCCCAAGATAAGATCATCCTGGATAAGCCCTAAATCCAATGACAAGCATCCTTATAAGAGACACACAGAGAGGAGAAGGCCATGTGAAGACAGAGGAAGAGACTGGAGTGATGCAGCCACAAGTCAAGAAACAGCTATAGGGCCACCAGAGCTACAAGAGGCAAGGAAGGGTCCTCCCCTAGAGCCTTCAGAGGGAGTGTGGCCCTGCCAACATCTCAATTTTAGATTTTGGCTTCCAGAACTGTCAGAGAATAAATTTCTGTTGTTTTTTTTGTTTGTATTTTTTTTCCACCCAGACCGGGGCACGAACCCATGTCCCCTGCATCGGCAGGGGGACTCTCAACCACTGCGCCACCAGGGAAGCCCCAATTTCTGTTGTTTTAAAGCACCAAGTGTAGGGTCTTCCCTGATGATCCAGTGGCTAAGACTCCATGCTCCCAATGTAGGGGGCCCGGCTTTGATCCCTGGTCAGGGAACTAGATCCCACATGCCGCCTCAACTAAAAGATCCCGCGTGCCGCAACAAAGACGTGGAGCAGTCAAACAAATAAATAAATATTAAAAAAAAAAAAAAAAGTGAAGCACCAAGCCTGTGGTAATTTGTTATAGCAGCCTCGCCCCAGGAAACCAATATGCAGTGCGGAGTGCCTTTGTGAGCAAAGCGTATGTACCAGGCCAGCTGACAGCTGTCAATCAACCAGTGGATGGCTCCCCTGGGCTGGTCTAGTCAACTGAAGCTCAAACGGTGACATGACACGGTCCTCGAGCCATGGGCTTCTCTCTCAGCACAGCACAGAGTGACACAAGGACTGCAATTCCATTTTTAAAAACTTCCCCACTCTGGCCTTTATGGGTCTAAAACAATCCTTTGTTTTCAAACCTAGTATTATTTTTCTCATACACATTCAGTTGAAAACAAATTAATCCCCATAATGCTCTAGGTGGTGTCCCTGGAGCCTGCACTTGGCCTTGCTGGCTAATTGAGGGACTTCAGTGACACTGGCTGATGTCACTGCTTTCCCTTAACCACTCATTGCAGGGAACTGCTGCAGTCTTTCCTTGTGTCTATTGTCATGGAGGATCCAATCAGAACACTTCCTCTCTTCCATACTTTCATTGTACCCTGTGCTTTTTTTTTCTTCATCACATTTATCACAATATTAATTTAAAAATGATCTGCATAACCCCAATGTTCATAAGTGATCATCAACAGATGAATAGATGAAGAAGATATTACATATATATATATATATATATATATACACAGTAGACTACTACTCAGTCATAAAAAGGAAAAAATTTTGCCATAACAAAAAAAGATGCAAACTCACAGAGCACAAACTAGTCGTTACCAGAGGGGAAAGGGAAGGGGGGGAGGGGAAATACAGGGGTAGGGGAGTAAAAGATACAAAATATTAGGTATAAAATAAGCTACAGGGATATATTGTACATCACAGGGAATACTGCCAGTATTTTATAGTAACTATAAATGGAGTATAACCTTTAAAAATTGTGAATCACTACATTATACACTTGTAACTTATAGCAACTATACTTCAATTTAAAAAAAGAAAAAAGTAATTATTGATAGATAAAAATAAATAAATAAAATGAGCTGCAGAATTATTTGTTTAACCTCAATCTCCTCCACCACACTGTTAGCTCCATGAGGACAGGAGCTAAGGCTCTCTGTCTTACCATCATCTCCCGACTGCCTTGCCCAGTGCCTGACACACAGTAGACACACAAGAAATATTTGTGGAATAGACAAAGAAATGAATTCCACACGGCTTGGTGGTGGAGGCAAAGGCAAATCTGGGTACACAGACCAGAATCTAGACAACGTTAAATAAATGGAAGTTCCTTGAAACACATTCCCAGTGTTTCAAAGGTGCCATAAGGGAAGCACACCCTGGATCCACCAGGGTCCTTCCTTTAGTATACTTTAAGAGCTTCCATTTCACACAGGCTTCATCGTCTGACATGCTGTTTGTCATGACCTTAGTTCCCACACTTCCTCCTTAAGACAGATGTTTGCAGAACAAACAATCCCCAAAGGAAAGCTTGCTTGGCAGGTAGAACAGTAAGGTTCACACCCTTGAACAGAATACAAATTAATCTCACAATACGGGGAGGGATGGTTGACAGAGAACTTGCCTACCTGTGTCATGACATTCACACTCAAGGTCACCATCTCCTGAAAATGGCCCTCTTCCACGGGACCATGCCCTTCAGAGGTGATTGGGTTCTCACCCAGCTTCAGGGTGTGACTCTTGATTAGTTTTAGCCAATCGTGGTGGTTTCACTCTCCTTGCCAAGACATTGCTGTAGGCTCAGAGATGTGACACAATTCTGACCTATAGGATGTGAGGGGAAGTCTAGGGATGTGTTTCAGAAAATTTTCTAGTGATTCCATTCCTAAGTATATGTCCCGGAGAACTGAAGATCAGTTACTTAAATAAATACATGTACAGGCACGTTCACAGCAGCACTGTTCGCAAGAGCCAAAAGGTAGGAAGAGCCGAAACATCCATCAGCAGCTGAACGGATAAACTCAATGTGGCATATCCACGCGATGGATTATCAGAAAAGGGAACGAAGTACGGATGCATGCTACAGTGTGGATGGACCTCGAGCACATTGGATGAAGTGAAAAAAGCCACAAAAAAGGCCACGTACTGGGACTTCCCTGGCGGTCCGGTGGTTAGGACTCCGCGCTTCTTCCACTGCAGTGGGACACAGGTTCGACCTCTGGCTGGGGAACTAAGATCCACATGATGCGCAGCCTGGCCAAAATAAAAAAAGGAAAAAAGGCCCCACATTGTATGATTCCAATGTCCAGAAGAGGCAAATCCTTAGAGACAGAAAGATTAGTGGTTTCGCAGGAATCGGAGGGGAGGGAGAGAGGAATGGCTGTTGAGTGGGTATGAGCTCTCCTCTGCAGGGTCATGCAGATGTTTTGGAACTCAATAGAGATGGTGGCTGCAAACACTGTGAAGGTACTAAATGCCACTGAATCGTTTACTTATAAAATGGTTAATTTTATGTCGCGTGAATTTCACCTCAAATGAAAAAAAAAAAAAACCTTTGGAATTCTTGCCTAAGGATTTAAATGTTTGGTGCAGCTGAGGCCTGCCACCTCCGTTCCCCCCGTTTTTTTTTTTTTTTTTTTTGCAGTACGCGGGCCTCTCACTGTTGTGGCCTCTCCTGTTGCGGAGCACAGGCTCCGGACGCGCAGGCTCAGCGGCCATGGCTCACGGGCCCAGCCGCTCCGTGGCATGTAGGGATCTTCCCAGACCAGGGCACGAACCCGTGTCCCCTGCATCGGCAGGCGAACTCTCAACCACTGCGCCACCAGGGAAGCCCCCACCCCCCCTCTTTTTAAAAAAAATTTTTGGTCGCACCACGGCATGCGGGGTCTCCGCCTGCAGTGGAAGCATGGAAGTCCCAGCTGAGTCCTTTTGTGAGGAAACAAGCTAAGGCCAAACCAGTATATTAAAGGATGGCTGAGTGCAAAGATGGAAAGAACCTGGGCTCAATTACATCATTGGCAAGTGCTGGGAACTCAATATCTGAACTTCTGATTATGCAAGATAGTAAATGCCCTCTTTACTTAAAGCCAGCTCTAGTTAGGTTTTTTATTACTGGCAGCCAAAAGACTCCAAAGAAGGTTCTGAAAAATGAAGGCAAAGGTATTGATTTTATCCAAATGGGAGCAACAATCACACGACTAACAGTAGCCATGTTCGTGCGTCTCTCCCTGGAGAGAAAAGATAGCGTAATGAGTTGCTACAGCTAAAGTGAAAGAAACAAACCTTTTCAGCTTGTAGGTAGACAGCTAATGATAAAGAATTCTCAAGTGCAGTTAAATCTCAGGGTTAGGTAAGGAGTATGTGTATGTGCGTGTGTGTGTGTGATCCCCAAGATGAACCCAGGTCTCATACTGTCTCAAGCCAATCTTAGTATTTCAAAAACAGGGAAGGACTAGCTTTAGGTGCAATATGTAAATAATTATAGGATTGTCGGCTCTGTGTACTGCAGGCAAGATGCAATCGCTAGCCACACCACTGAGTTTGTGTGGCTTCTCTCGGGCTTTGAGAGCTTAGCATAGAGCAGTGAAATGTGACCAAACGTTGTGAAAAACTCATGCTTTCTCTGTGTGAAATGTCAATTCTATGCGGTGAAAGTGAGCACTTCCCTTTTCAAAGTCAGGTTGACTTTTCTGAATCACTAGGCTGTGACTGGGAGAAAGCAGAGGAAGATAGAAGTGGATCCCTCTCCACCCCCTTTCCCTCAATTTTCTGTGGTTCTGGAAAGTTCTGGCACCTGTTGGGCTGCACCCCACAGGCCAACAAGCCCTGTGCTTCCCCAGCTTCAAGAGCCTGGAGTCAGCTACAGATATATCAATGGTTCAATGGATGGGGGAGCTTACACATCTGAAGCAAGGTCCTAGAGCGACACCCCACCTGCGCAGCGGTCGGTGGGCAGGTCGGTGGTGGCGGTCTTCGCTCCTGGGGGGCAGGGGAGGTTACCAGTTATAGGAGAATTGACCTCACGTGGGCTCATTAGTTGCCAGGGGAACTAGCAGAGGGGCACGCCCCTCACCGCCCCTTTGATAAGAACAATCACTAGCTGGGGCCTGGGACAAGTACTTAGGAAGGTCAGTCCTGTGCGTAGGGTGTAGGTGAAGCAGGCACTGGTCGGGCAGGGGATGGACAGAGAGAAAGAGAACAGCCGTGGTCAGTGGCCTGATCATACACAGCCTTATCCGTTTCCTGCTCTACTCCACAGACAGAAAGCATTCAGAAAAAGGATAATGCAGCTGGATGGGCTTTTATAAGGGCATTTAAGGGCTAATATTAGAGATTAATAATTGAAGTGTGGTTGGATTTGATCTTGCTCTTACTATATTTCTTGGCACTTAGTCCTAAGTCATTGTGTAATGTGTAAACTATTAAAATAAATGACTTAAGTCGCCTACGGTAAAAACCTGTTTCACAGCTGATGGATTAAGGGAACCCGGTCCTTCACCCATGCTGATTAAGGTGCTATATTTGTCTATAAATGTTGCAGGGCCTTAGCCATGATGGAAATTAATTAGGATGTATTCCTCTGAGAATCTCTAATAGGGACATGGAGTTACCTTCCTCTCTGTCTTCACATCTTGGTTGTTTTTTATTGACTCAGCTGGGATTTCATATATTCAATGGGTCTTCTCTCTAAAGAGGTGAGCTGTTTATTCAAGAAGTCTTGAATTGCCTGGAATGTGAGGTATTTCCAAAACAATGAGTAAGTGCGCTTAAATAAAAGGAAACAAAACAGAATCCTGCCGACTTTCGGAGTGTGGACATTGAGTTAAATCTAAACTACTGCCAAGGTCCTTTGGGCTCTGCTTATGAGCCAGCTGCAAAGAAAGGGAAAGGAAAGAGGAATAAAAAATCGGCTTTTGAGACTTGCCCTGCTGGTTACTTGTATCCACTTTTGAAAGCTGTTGATTCTTCAGCTTTTCTGTAGATTTAATGGGATAGTTACAGGAGATGGATGACGGTGAGGGTGGCACACCACTGTGAATGTACTTAGTGTCACTGAACTGTACAGTTAAATATGGTTAAAACAGTATGTTTTATATCATGTGACTTTTATCTCTCTCTCTCACACACACACACACACACACACACACACACACACAAAAATGGGATCGTTAAAATGCACATGAGATTGGGTAACACGGCCAAAACCACAGGATCCAGAGCGGAGGGCTAGGTTCTGGTTTAAAAACCTGAAAAACTGAACTCTGTAATCACCAAGGAGGAAAACATTAGTGAAACATACATTGTTTACTAATTAGAATCAGGGATGAAAATAAGTAAACACTTAGCCATAAAAATCAGAAGGAAGTTGTCATCACCTTTCAAAAGAATATGGTTTCGGGCTTCCCTGGTGGCGCAGTGGTTGAGAGTCCACCTGCTGATGCAGGGGACACAGGTTCATGCCCTGGTCCGGGAAGATCCCACATGCCACGGAGCGGCTGGGCCCGTGAGCCATGGCTGCTGAGCCTGTGCGTCCGGAGCCTGTGCTCCGCAACGGGAGAGGCCACAACAGTGAGAGGCCCGCATACCGCAAAAAAAAAAAAAAAAAAGAATATGGTTCCTATATTATTCAGCCCTACAAAGGAAGGAAATTCTAACATGTGTTACAACATGGATGCAGCCAGAGACATTACGCTGAGTGAACTAAGCCAGTCACAAAAGGACAAATACTGTATGAGTCCATTTAACTGGAGTTCCCTAGAGTAGTTAAATTCATAGACACACGAGTAGAATTGTGGTTACCAGGGGCTGGGGAAATGGGGAGTTAGTGCTTAACGGGGACAGAGTTTTAGTTTTGCAAGATAGAAAATTCTGGAGCAGGATGGTGGGGATGGTTGCCGAACAGTGTGAAAGTATTTAATGCCACTGAACCGCACACTTTAAAATGGGTAAGATGGTAAATTTTATGTGTATTTTACCACAAATAAAATTTTTTCTTTAATGGAAAAAGAAGAAAGAACATAGTTCCTAATCTATACTGGGAATGTTCTGTGTCTTGATTTGGGTGTTTATTACATAGACACGTTGTCTTTGTGAAAATCCATGACGATTTCCGTACTTTTCTGTACTTTAGTTTACTTCAGTTAAATTTATAAGATGAGGGCTTCCCTCGTGGTGCAGTGGTTAAGAATCCACCTGCCAAAGCAGGGGACATGGGTTCGAGCCCTGGTCCAGGAAGATCCCACATGCCGCGGAGCAACTAAGCCCATGCTCCACAACTACTGAGCCTGCGCTCTAGAGCCCACGTGCCACAACTACTGAGACTACGTGCCACAACTACTGAAGCTGGCGCACCTAGAGCCCGTGCTCCGCAGCAAGAGAAGCCACCGCGGTAAGAAGCCCACGCACCGCAACGAAGAGTAGCCCCGCTTGCCGCAACTAGAGAAGCAGCAATGAAGACCCAGTGCAGTCAAAAAAATTAAAAAAAAAAAAATTTGTAGGATGATTGTGGGACTTCTCTGGCAGTCCAGTTGGTCAGGACTCTACGCTGTCACTGTTGAGGGCCCGGGTTTGATCCCTGGTCAGGGAACTAGGATCCCACAAGCTGTGAGGCGCGGCCAAAAAAAAAAAAAGTATAAAATGATTGTTTCTTATCAGTGGCAAAGTAGAGAGCTCACTCTCACTTAAAGGAGTACACGCTTTATCCAAAGGCAGAAGCAGTAGAATTTCAGGAGGCTGGAGTGGTTTGAAGTGTCCCCCTTACTCCCCAACCACAATATTCATGTCCACCTGGAACCTCAGAATGTGACCTTACTGGGGAAGACTGTCTTTGCAGATGTAATTAAGGTAAGGATTAAAATGAGATCCTACAGGATTAGGGTGGGCCCTAAATCCAATGACAAGTGTCCTTATAAGAGACAGAAAAGGGGAATTCCCTGGCGGTCCAGTGGTTAGGACTCGGTGCTTTCACTGCCAGGCCCAGTTGGAGAAGTAAGATCCCACAAGCCGCACAGAGTTGCTATAAATAAATAAATAAATAAAAGACAGAAAAGGACAGAGAGACACACGGAGCGGGCCATGTGTTGATGGAGATAGAGACTGGAGTGATGCTGTCACAAGCCAAGGAACACCTGGCACCACCAAAAGCTGGAAGAGGTAAGGAAGGATTTTCCATTAGAGACTTTGGAGGGAATGTGGTCCTGCTGACACCTTAATTTTGGACTTCTGGCCTCCAGAACAGTGGGAGA